GATCGGCCCTGCTCTGTGGGTGATAGAGGGTGGCGCTCCAACCCCCCTCCACGGGCCTTGCTCAGTGTGTGACAGGGTAGAGCCATAACCTCTCCATCGGCCCTGCCCTGAGTGTGACAGTGGCGGCACGCCAACCCCCTGATCGGCTCTGCTCTGTGAGTGACAGGGGGCAGCGCCCCAACCCCCTGATTGGCCCTGCTCTGTGCGTGACAGGGGGTGGCGCCGCAACTTCCCTATCGACCCTGCCTTGAGTGTGACAGGGGGCGGTGCCCCAACCCCCCAATCGGCCCTACCCTGAGCGTGACTGAGGGTGGCATCGCAACCTCCCGATCCGCCCTGCTCTGTGCATGACAGGGGGTGGCGCCCCAACTCCCCAATCGGCCCTGCTCTGAGCCCGACCAGGGGCTGCACCTAGGGATTGGGCCTGCCCTCTGCCACCCGGGAGCAGGCCTAAGCCAGCAGGTCATTATCTCCCAAGGGGTCCCATACTGCGAGAGGGCACAGGCCGGGCTGAGGGACCCCCTCTCCCCCCCGAGTGAACAATTTTTTGTGCACCAGGCCTCTAGTCAGAAATAAAAGGAAGAGGCTCTCAGCTTCCACCTCCATATCCTTTCTTCCTTCTGGATCATAATCACAAGGGCAGGGTGTTTGATGTAGTAAGAAGATGACAGAATTTAGAGTCAGAAAACCCTAGTCCCAGCCTCAGCTATGCCAAAAGTGAATGATCCATCTAAGTAGAGAAGGGGACTTTTCTTGACCCTGAAATACTTCATCTAAAAATAGATGATCTGCTTCATGATATAGCTATAAGGAATTATTTCACATAATTGATGTATAATATTTAAATAGCTTTCCTGATATAATTCATAAATCATACAATCACCACATAGAGTATACGATTTATTGTTAAGTTTGTTTGTATATTCATAGGATTGTGAATTTACAATCTAACTTTAGAACTTTTTTGCCCCCCACTAAAGAAAACCCCATGTCTCTCAGTAGTCAATGCCCATTTCTACCTCACCCCACCACCTAGCCATAAGCAATCATTAACCTTTTTTCTGCTATGTAAATTGGCATATTCTAGGTATTTCATATAAATTGAATCATATCATATGAGCCTTTTTGTGACTGGTTCTTTCACTTAGCATGATGTTTTCAAGGTTCATTCATGTGATAGCATGAATAGTACTTATTACTTTTTATTATCAAATAATATGATATTGCATGGTATGACTACCTTTTTTTGTTTATCTCTTCGTCAGTTTGGGTTATTTCCATTCTTTGGGATTATGTATAATGTTTTAAAAATCTATGTGCAAGTTTTTGTTTGAACACATGTTTTTAATTCTTTTGGATATATACTCAGGAGGGAAATTATTGGTTCATATGGTAATTTTATGTGTTTAACATATTGAGAAAACACTAAAATATTTTCTATAGTGGCTGCACTATTTTATATTCCCACCAGCAAGGTATGAGGGTTCCAATTTCTCTCTCTTTTTGCCAATACTTGTAATTGTCTGACTTTTAAATTATGGCCCTACTAGTGGATGTGAAGTGATATCTCATTGTGGATTTGATTTGCATTTCTCTAATGGCTAATAATGTTTAGCATATGATTATATTTTACATATAGCTTAAAATTTCCACTGAATACATGTCACAATTATTTTTATCATCAGCTGTTCATGAATTCAGGGATGAAAAAACTCAGTGCTCAGTAATGACATTAAACTGGATGAAGCATGTTGAAATAAAGGACACAGATGTTTCTGTGGTGCCATTCTGAGCTGAGATCTCAGTCCACCCAGAGGTTCTGCCTCCACATTGACCCAGGGCCATCAGAGAGTCTGGCCTGTTCTCTATTCCCAGAATTCAACAGCACATTGAAATCCCCTCATTGTTCAGAATGAGAGGATTCTTGGAGGATTCCTTATAGGTGATTTTGGAATCCTTTTTAATGTTGATTTTGATGGTAATGATCACTTTTTTGTTGTTGTACAAAAGATAAAGAAATGTGTGCTCAAAGCAGGAAATCTCCTGGGAGGGAACTTACAGGCTGGGTTTGGGGATGCTGAAGTCTGAGAGGGAAGGACAGACTCTTCTGCTAGTGATCTTGAGCCCGAATTGGGTGACTCCAGATCCAGTGTGGTGGGAGGCAAGTGTCTGAGTTATGAGGACAAAAGGCCCAGGATCAACTTATTCTGGTCTTACAGGATCCACCATGAAGTGCATACAGGGTGAGGATGGAAATTGGTTCACTCCCAGAGAATTTGAAATCAAAGGAGGCCGTGCAGGATGGAAGAACTGGAAGAACAGCATGCGCTGCAGTAGGAGAACCCTAAAATGGCTGATAGAGGTATTCCAGTGACAGGAGCTTGGATGTGGTTTTCCTGGTTGCACCCTAAGATAGGTCACTGTTTGTTCACCAAATATATGTTGAGTAATAGCCACTGACTTTATGCTTACCCCACACTCATACCTTAGTACAAGGCAGCACATTGATTAGAGGTTCTTTCGGGATAGATGCAGGATCGTGGAGGAGGGAAAAGTCATCCTGACTCAGGTGCTTGCAGACAACTTTAAGCACTGAAAGAAAGGAGACAGTTTATGGCCAAACAAGTGGTCAGAAGGCACTCCAGAGAAAGAATGGTGTGAAATCCAGAACCACGACTACTGTGGCTCCGTGGATTGAGGTAGATGGATTGTGTGTGTGATATGGCATAATCCATCAATTTGTGGAGGGATTTCATGCCAGGCTAAGGAGTTCAAAGTCATAGCATATACAATGCAGAACCAGGGAGTCTCCTGAGCTATGAAATGACATGTTTAAAAAACAGTATCTCAGACAACATGGGGCTTGGAAATGGCTTCATTGTCTTTCAGCCCAAGAAGCCTATAATCATCCTACAATGTTCAACTCCAGTGTCTCCCCTCTTTGAATATTCCCTGACTGACCTGCCTTGGGCCCCCTAACCTCACTATTAAGGCCCTTCTCACACTATTTAAAACTTATCATTCCATGAATTCTCTTTATCTCTCTAGATCCCTCTAGGGTTTGTACATATTTGTGTGTTCAACATTATCCAGAGTGTCTGACATCTTGTAGGTGTGGCATACATATGTATTGGTTGAATAGCCCGGATGTGAGCATGCAATTTTGAATGGAACTTGTGGGAATAGAAAGGAGGTGAAAAGTATCAAAGGGACTGTGAAGGAAAATCTCTTAAAACGTAGGGGAAAAGCACAAGATCAAAGAAAAAGGTTCTCTGGGTACTGTTGATGAATTTTAGAACAGGTGAGGAGAGGGAGATGGTGTATCATTTAGACACCTTGGTTCTAACTGACAGTGGGATATCAGGGTAGAAATATTTGGGAGGAGGTTGGAAATGCCAGACTCACAAACCAGACCCACAGACCCATATACTTGGATCTTTTTATTTTTCAGAAAGGATTTCTATGTAATCCCCCAATGATATACAGAAGGAGGAAAAAGGTAATGACTATATAACTTTCTACAAATTCTCATTGCATAACTAATTTTACATATGCAGTATGTTATTTTATGGTTTCTCAGTTGGATAATTATAATTAAGTATCTTTTTTTTTGCATGTGCCTTCAGAGGTCCTAATTTGGACATTATATTGTATGCAAGGTCTCCTTTGAATAGCAAATCAGTTGATATGAAGATGATAAGGAGGTATCAAAATAAATCTCATAGATGAGTTTTAGCCATAGATGCAGATTCTGTAAGGGTGTTAAAGTTGTAAAGGCAATCATAATTATGAAATACATAAAAGCATTTAATAATAGTCACAGAGTCATCTTCAACTCAAGCTAAGATTTTTAAAAATTAGGGTTATTATTTTCTGATGGTGCAAAAGTTTGCTCACCATCATGCCTATGACCCCCTGGTCTAGTAGTGTATCTTGGAACATCTCCCCAAAATATATACACACACTTTGAATAATTATAAAGGAAATGTTTATTAAAATACATTTCCTTTTCAAAATTGAGCTATCAGCTATTAAAGTGTGTATACATTATTTTGGGACACCCTGCCATACACTATTTCATGAAATAGGCAACTAAAAGCCTGTTTCTTTCCTGATCCTTTACATCTTCTTCCACCTTCCAATAAAACATGCACAGAGACAATCAGAATTCTTTTTCAGGGGGAAATTATTTGCCTTTCATGAGGATAGTGCTTTTGGGGAAGAAACTTTTGGGCGATCCATGAATATAGGAGGCCTGACCTGAAAAATTGTGTACTTTGATGCTAACAAACAAATACATAATGCACAGTTCAGATTCAGGACAAAGTGATGGCTTTTCCAAGATTGGGTATGAATGAGTATTGAGGTAGAGGAGGAGAAAAGAAATACCATTCTTAGATACTTCAGGTAGAAATGGCCATCCAAGACATTCTCAAATCCTAAGATAGGTCACACATAGCTGGCCAATGAGATTTATCTTTCACTGGGAATGTGAGGTCCAGGCCTTTATATTGTCTGATGATTTAAACTGTCAGTCCTTGAGACATTTTATTCACTAAATTTCCTCTTTGGAAACTTATTAGGCTTATTTAGTGAGTAAGTTGAAGACGAGCTTCTGTACCATTCCTCAAGTACCAAGATTTACTCAAGTAGAGCACCCAAGTGAGCTGGCAACTTCCTTTCATTAGGATCTACCCTCATTTATGAGTCAAACACTTTTCAGTAACAAGCTGCAGTTGCCTTTGTATTTTGTCTCTCCTTGATCAAAAACAGAAGCTCCCTAAATTGGCAGATCTCAGGACCAGTGACTACCGCCTACCGCTGTGGTTCCTCTGTGTCTCTCAGAACCTCTTTTGCTGATGGAGCTCACTGGTTTCTGGAAACTTAAGTGTCACTCTCAGCACCACAAGACAGCTTCCCTGGCTCCTGAAGAGGGCCTCTAATATCTTCTGGTGACAATATTTTATGAAATAACATACTCCTCAAGAAGAATCATGTATTGTATGCTAATGTTTGTCTATGAGAGAGCAAGTAGTCTCTTTTTCTAAGTAAAAGAATACTTATCCATTCACTTGTTTAACATAAAATTGTCAAGGGCATATTAAATGCCCACTAGCCATTAAAGAAGATTCAAACAATAACCTTGACCTCAAGGATTGTTTCAACTCATTGTTTCATATGGAATTATAACTTCTAATATGGAATAAAAACTTCCATATCAGACAATATGAAAAGAATCTAGGCCACACAGAGATGTGGGCAATGACATGGCCACCTCTCAGGTGATTGTCCAGTGGATCACACTTATCTATGACCTCTATGCCCTGGGCTGGAGATAAAGGCTGAGGCTACCTGAATCCAGAAGGGAAGGACATCAAGTCATTCCAATGTATATGCCCAAGCAATGTAAGTCTGGTAGGTGGTACTTAGTTACCTCTGAAATGTCACCAGCTGACATCTTAGGATTTGAATGGAGAGGAGAGGAGGGTGACCTTCGGGAAGAAGAGCTGCAACACTGGGGCCCTTGAGCACATTTTTTCCTTTAAAGCTACACCTTAGAAGAGTTTCAAAGGGTGGTGGAATTCTTCTCTGGGACATTTGCATGGATTCCAGGAATCTGGGCTCTGAGGTTCCTGGAGGCTGTTAGCTTGATACTTTCATTGCAGCTACTCTGTTGGGGTTATACTTATTAATATGGAGAAGAAGGCCTGAGGGCCTCTCAAAGTAGGAGAACCAGAAGAGTTCTTCCAATTTCATCTGTGGAGACCAGGACCAGACAACCTGCATAACTTCACAAAGGCCCACCTTGAGTCTGAGAGCCAGAGGATGTAACTAGATTGGACTAAGTGTTGGTACTTTGGCACTTTTTATTCCTTGTAGATATATTTATGAAATAATGGATACATTGTGAGTTGAATCCCTCAAAAGATGGCTGTTTAAGTAAGTTATGGATGAAAACATCATATTCAGCATTGTCACGCAATCTTTCTCTCTTTGTAGCGGAGAATCTCGCAGTCTCATGACAATACCTTAGTTGACCCATATGTAAGTACTAACTCCAACCTGTAACCCTAGAATAATTTAGACCTTTTCCCTTGGTACATTATCCCTGCCACTACCGCCTTTCCTTGAAGCTTGCTCATACTCAGTTGGAACATATCCCTGTGTGTGATGAGCAGAGAACAGCAGATGGTCTGGAGTTGAGTGTCTCAGCATGAAAGCATTCTTTTCATTTGTTTGGAGGAAACTTTGTTTTCTTATTAGCATGGAAGGTAGAGCTCTAGACCACTGGAGAAGGGATTTTAAGTGGAAATGGGCAGGGCTGGCCTGCCGATTAAGGGTAAGGTGCAAATTTGACATAGTGGCATTTTAAAGAAGGCAGAGGGAAGGAAAAAAATCACAAATATTCACTCCATGGTGCAGGCAGAACTAAGATGGTTTCATGCATCAGACAGAAAGAATAGGCCAGACAAAGCTAGTGAGTTTAAGGTATGCATCCTGTTATGAGTTCTGCAGAAAAATGTACTCAAGGCAAGTGAGTCCTTTACAGAGGCCCTGCATCCAACCTCAAGGGAGCCATTAAGGTGCTGAGCTGGTGTTTAGGAATAAAACCATCACTACTTAGCGAATCATGGGCATTTTTACTCAAATTGATACCATATGCCAAACTGCTTTAAGGTCTGCAAAATTATAGAAGATTCTGCTCCCTAAGCTATCTCATACATTGATTTCTGTCATTTCAACAAGATGAGTATTTTAAAAAGACTTGCCCTTGCACAACTCCAGTGGGCATCACTCGATAGGATATGATGCAGTAACATATATATATATATGTATATATGCAAAGTGTCCCCTTGGGAGTTTGGCCAGGAGACTGGGAGTTTGATCGCTCACTGTGATGTGCACTGAACACCAGGGGGCGGTGTGAAACATGGCAGGCAACCAGCAGTGGGGTGCTGAGAGAGCAAGGGAAGGAGGAGGCAGGGAGGTGGGGGGAACCTGATTGGCCCTGATTGCTGGCCAAGCGTAGGGACCCTACCTGTGCACAAATTTTGTGCACTGGGCCTCTAGTTGATATATGACATTCAACAGAGGAGGGATAGTCAAATAGATTTACATACACTTTACCTCCAAAGCAATACTCCAACAAGATTTAGATCTTATCCACATTGATTTTGACTCTCAGCCAACTGAGGGAGTATTCAATCATGTCAACAGCCCTGGAGTCCAGTGTTTGTGCGGCTTGTTTGGGATGGATGTCAACACAGAGGGCCAGGCCACACTGCTCACAGCCAAAGGAGGAGAGGGCAAGAGTACCCTCACCCCTGTTAATATCTTTCATGGGATAAACATTACAGGCCAATTCAACATTGACTTAAAATCTCCCCCTGTCTTAGTAACTAGACTCTGCTCAGGCTAAATCTCCAGGTTGCACACTGGAATCATTTGAAGACCTGAATTTCCCCCAAAGGAAATCTGATTTAATTGATCTGTGCTATAAATTGGACATTAGGATTAAGTCCCAGATGATTCAGATACACAAAATTATCCATTTTGTGACTCAAAGAAGAATACCAATGCCGGTGCCCCACTCAGACAAACTGATTCATAACCTTTGATGTTGGGAACAGGACATCTTATGCACTCTCCTTAGAAGATTCTATTGTGTAGCTGGGCAAAGAACCAGAGAGATACATCTTGAACGAGGATTGTAAATGCAAGATTCTTAAACATTGTTTATGTTTATCATTTTCTTGTTCTTTCGGAGAGATGGGTCTTCACTTTTGGAGAATGATGCTGGTAATCTGTGAGTGTCTGCACAGATAAGAAGAACAACCAAGGTACATGCCCTTGACCAGAATCACACCTGGGACCCTTGAGTCCACAGGCTGATGCTCTATCCACTGAGCCAAACCGGTTAGGGCCATATATGGCCATTTTTAAGAACAAAAGAAATGGCTATCATCCCAATTCAGCCAACAAAAATATTTTCACCCAAAAGCCTAGAAAACAACTCAAATAATTGTGAATTAATGTCTTTTCTTCTTTGATTACTTCCCGCACTAAGAAATTTTTTCCATCTTATCAAATTCTCAATACGTTATCCTTTTCCATTGTCGACCCAATATATTATGTCATTGTGGTGTAGGCAAATAGACTTAACAATATTTCAGGAACTTGTTTTATCTGCATGGTAATTAAATTATTCAGATCCCATGAATCATCCCCTTGTTTTGTTGCCTGTGTTTCTGTATTAGAATCTCTGGTTTTATAGGAAAAGCTTTTCTGGTCTGGCATACAGATCCTTCCTCCTGAACTTCACTGCAGATTACAGTTCTTCTCTAACCTCCACTTCATGCTGTTCCTTCACAACTCAGGGAGAAGCACATAAGGGTCTGTGCAGATTCACACTAAGGCAATGAGTGCTAGATACCTACAGTGCTGGTCTTCAGGGTTTCACTGGAGATATGAACATTGTTTTACCTTCTAGCTAGGAAATTCAGACGTATGTGAGATCTGCCGGTATGGAGGAAAGCTATTCTGCTGTGATACTTGTTCGAGATCCTTTCATGAGGACTGTCACCTCCCACCTGTGGACATTGAGAGGTTTGTGAGATGCAGCCCATCTCCCTTTAGGGACCCTTCCTCCTGCCATGCACAGTCCCCCAGCATAGTTCCTCCTTGTGTTCTGATGGGGAAAGAGCAGGGTCAGAGGTACAGGATCCAGCATTATGACCCCGGGAACTGTTTAAAGATGCTGTCAACTGGAGGCTAATGTTCCCCTCTCTTTTCTGGGAGGCTGAGGCTGGTGGCTGGGTGCTTTGCCTAAATACTGCCAATTGCCCTTACCAGAACTTTCCCAGCATGGAATGCTGTCTATGGGAGTGAAAATGCCAGCTGTTTGTGTTCTGTGCTTTTTTAGAAAAATTAGGAAACATGGACGGGTTCCCTTATTTCACCACCTTTTCAACTGACTGATGAAGGCCTAAGGTCCCCATGGGTTAAGGCCCAGTCTCCAACATTTGAGCTTGGTGGGCAGAGCTGTTTGTGCTCCCAGCAGCTCAGATGGGGAAAGAGAGCTTACCACTCACCCTGACACCATCCTCCACCCACTTACCCCCTGCTGCTACCCTTGATGGGAGGAGGGTTATTGGCTCAGACCGCACCTAGGGGTTCTTAGAGTATCCCCTTCATCTGCTGGCTGTGTCCATTGGTCATTCCTGAAAGGAGGAACAGTGGCAGCTGTAGGAATGGTGGCTGTTTCTGAGGTCTTGCCTTGCTCACTTATGCCTGACCTTTCAGGAGCCCGTGGAGTTGCATCTTCTGCAGGATGGAGTCTTTAGGAAGTCAGCAGTGTCTCAGGGAATCTGAGGTCCTGGCGAGGCAGATGGGGCCCGAGGAGCAGCTGGTGAGTCAGATTTAAATCCCAAGACGTTTCCTTTCTGCTCACATGTGAGAAATCAAGAGTCATTGGGTGAGGGGTACATTGGTCATTCCTGAAAGGAGGAACAGTGGCAGCTGTAGGAATGGTGGCTGTTTCTGAGGTCTTGCCTTGCTCACTTATGCCCGACCTCTCAGGAGCCCGTGGAGTTGCATCTTCTGCAGGGTGAAGGAGTCTTCAGGAAGTCAGCAGTGTCTCAGGGAATCTGAGGTCCTGACAAGGCAGATGGGGCCTGAGGAGCAGCTGGTGAGTCAGATTTAAACCCCAGGACCTTTCCTTTCTGCTCACATGTGAGAAGTCAAGAGTCATTGGGTAAGGGGTGGGGTGCCAAAGGGTGTCTGCTCTTCTGACTGTGCCTCTCACCAGACCTTGTTTGCAGAAAAATAATAATTCCTCCATTGCATGATTCTTGGAGAGCAATAGTTGTTTGAGGAAACTTCCAGAAGATCCTTAAGCAGCCTTATAACCATTGTTTTAAACTCTGTATCTAGTAGTATGCTTGCTTCCATTTCATTTCATTCTTTTTTCTGGAGATTTCTTTGTTCTTTTATTTGTGACATGTTTCTTTGTCTCTACATTTTGGCTGCTTCCCTATGCTTGTTTCTATGTATTAGGTAGAGCTGATATGTCTCCTGGAATTGGTAGAGTGGCCTTGTGTACTAGGTGTCCTATAGGGCCCAGTGGCTCAGCCTCCCCAGTCACCTGAGCTGGGCACTCTAGGTGTATCCATGTGTGGGCTATGGGCACAGTCTTGTTGTAGTTGAGCCTTGATTGCTGTTGACATCACTAGGAGGAGTTGACCTCAGGCCAATTGGCTGTGAGGACCAGCTGTGACTACAGTGGAAGAGCTGCTGTGCAGGAGATACCCCTATGGAGCAGAACTTGCTTCAGTGGGACTTTATTGAGTTTACCCCTTGAGTGTGTTGCTCATGGATGTGTAAAGTAATCTGGCCTGTTATAAAGCTGTCTACTGAGTGCACTGGCTCTGGGGCCTCCCAGGAGGTATAAAGTCAGCCACTGCCTATGGCCACCTGGCAGGAACTACAGAGTAATCTGCAGATGGCTGCTGTTTGTATTGTGCTTGGAAATGCCCAGACAAAGCCAATCTGTCTAGGGCCTCTTATTGATAGGTATGGGGCATACTGATGCCAGTGCTGTTTTTTTTTTTTTTTAAATAAATTTTAGCTAAGTCTGAAGCCTAAACCCAAAGCTGTCTACTGAGTGCACTGGCTCTGGGGCCTCCCGGGAGGTGTAAAGTCAGCCACTGCCTATGGCCACCTAGCGGGAACTACAGAGTAATCTGCAGATGGCTGCTGCTTGTATTGTGCTTGGAAATGCCCAGACAAAGCCAAGCTGTCTAGGGCCTCTTATTGATAGATATGGGGCATACTGATGCCAGTGCTATTTTTTTTTGATAAATTTTAGCTAAGTCTGAAGACTAAACCAAAAAGGCCATTCATATAGAAAAGCTGCTGCAAACAGCTTGAGTGGGGCTGCAAATTGAATGGGGCAGGGTCTCAGGAATCACCAGGGTGGAGCAAACAATATGAGCCAGGTTGATGGATATGGCTGCCCAGCAGTTCTTTAATGGGGGAGGTCTCAGCATAGGAACAATGACCCCCCTGTGAGCACCCCTGTCTGGGAGAAAGCTGCCCCCAAGTTCTTGCTCCAGTGTCAGACAAACTGGTTCTTCCTCATATGTCCCTGGTACTGGAGCTTAAAAGGAATGAGTCTAAGTATGTTTGTGCCCTGGTTCTTTAAGAGGAGCTGCCTGAGTATCCAGTAGCCTCTGTGTTACTCAGCCATAATCCCCAGTTGTTTTTACAGCCTGAAGTTATCGAAACTTCTCTTCCCAGCACTGGAATCCTGGTGTGGGACTGGGACCCCCTTGCTCCTCACAGGACACCTCTGCAGCTGAGATATTTTTCCTGATTAAAAACATGCCACCTATGGGTGTTGGACCAGCCAGTTCTGTGCTTCTACCCCTCTTATCAGTCTAAATGTGTTTTCTTCTTTATTTCTCCAGTTGTAGGACTTCCATTCAGCCAGCTTTCAGGTGGTTCTCAATTATGGTTGTTCTGTATCATAGTTGTAATTTTGATGTGGTTGTGGGAGGTGGCGAGTATCAGAGTTTACCTATGCTGCCATCTTGGTTCTCTCTCTCCAAGCTGCTTTTCATTTATATCTTCCTTCTTTTGTAGAAATGTGAGTTCCTTCTCTTGAAAGTCTATTGCGATTCAGAGAGCACGTTTTTTTCGAAGATTCCATATTATTATTATGTAAGTAACAACAACAAAAAACCATAATTACAGGCTGCCCTGGTGTTACCTGACCCTGACATGGGCTCTTGTGGGATTTGTGATATGAAGCCCACAGGAGGGATAGTGTGAGCTGCCATTATCTTTACCTGGTATTTCTGCTGGACTTTAGGGGAATCCACAGAAGACAGATTTTGAATTGTGTCAGTAATTGTCTCAATGGTATTTTCCCCTACCAGATTAAAGAGACTTCTCAACATCTAAAGGAACCCATGTGGTTGGACAAGATCAAGAAGAGGCTAATTAAGCTGGGCTACCCCCAAGTGGAAGGGTTTGTGAAGGACATGCGCCTCATCTTTCAGAACCACAGGGCGTCTTATAAGGTAAGTGGCTCTCCCTGCTTCCATTTCCTTTTCTTTCAGTTGAGTCACTCTGCCCTCATTTCCTGGTGCTGGGAAATTTTAGAGTTTCCCTCACCTTTTATGATGAGCCTGTATAAGCAAGGGTTCAGGAAGTGAGTGGGTTTTTAAATTGAGGATTTAAGCTCATCAGGGAGCGTAACGGTGAGTCAGGAGGTGTCCCTGCAACCAGACTCCAGGTCCCTGAGAGCTCACCCTCCTCAGAAAAGGCAACAAGTGTCCCGTGAGAAGAGTCTCTTCCTCCCTGTTCCAAACCCAAGGAGAAGAAGATTGAGTCCTAAAGTCATGTTGTTCTTATCTACCTCAAATATACTCAATCAAACCTCTTAGAAATCCCAAATTCCAGAGTCCTTTACATATGAATGGACCTGTACTTAACAGGGATCACCAGAGGGGAATAGAAGTGACAATATGAAAGGAAGATTGTACTTAGATATCTGTAATATTTGATTGTTACAAAGAACATGGATTATTCGACAACCCAAACTAATAAGTGAGAGTCCCCACATGTGGTCATGATTTCCCATTTCTGTCTAGTTAATAAGAATTAATTATGCACTTAGGACACAGAATTTACTCTTAGCCACAAGAGTTTTTTATTTTAACCTGGTTAATGTAACTTAGGTGTTTAAGGAAGTTATTCTTGAATGCAATGTTTCTAAATACTGGTAATGAGTGGCATTACTTTTGTTGTTATTTATCTTTTTTTCCAGTACAATGACTTTGGCCTAATGGGACTTAGACTGGAGGCAGAATTTGAGAAGAATTTCAAGGAAGTGTTTGCTATTCAGGAAACAAATGAGAGCAGTTCACTTGTGTAGCGGATACTGTTGGGACCCTGGAAAATCCCCTCATCCTCTAAATTGCTGTGAGGGTTGGCTGCCAATCCATCTCTCTCCTGAGTAATATTACATTGAGCGCAATAAATGGAGCCAGCATTGCATGGAGGTTATATTGGTGGAAGTGGAGTTCTTGAGGTGCCATGAGGAAAAGAATTTCCTGAGGACCCCATGGGAGGATGGGGTTTCATGGAAAGCTTCTTTGATGATGTAAAATTAAGGGGATTTCCCTCCAAGGTCCCATCTTCATCTGTCTCACCATGCAAGAAGTCCAATCTTGCCTTCAGTATGGCTAGATTTAAGGCCAGTGCCCATAAGTTCTGTTCCAAATTAAAATACAGTCTAGTCCATTCCAGCATCTGGTTAGCTTAGCTTGTGTTCTCAGCTCCAGTCCAGGGGTTGTCATGGCCCATGGCCACGTGGCTGCTTAAGGCCACATGGCTATGGAGAGAAAACAGACAGTTGCATAGGCAAGTGTGGGACATGGAGCAAGAGAGAACCAGAGTAAAGAAGAGAGAAGGACCTGTCTGGGGATTTTACCCTTCCAAGATTTTGTGCACTTGCTGTGGCTCCACCCTTCCAGCCAATGATCTTTCTCCTGGGCTAGATGGCAGGCAAGCACCTTCTCTACATCACCCTGACTTCACTGTGCATGCACCCATCTCCCCCATTGTTCTCTCCCTTCCTCCGGTAATCTGCAGGGAATGGACTGGGGGTTTCCTAGGGAGCATGAAGCTGTAGCTTCCTAGTGAAGCTGCCCAGATAATCATGCTTATAATGTCTAGCCTCCCCTTTGCTCTCTTACTATTACTAATATTGACAAACTAGCTAATTTCAACAACAGTTACACCTCCTTGGCCTTGGGTCTAGCTTCAATGAGTGGCATGATTCATGCTCCCCACTGGGATTAGGTTGGAGCTAGTCCAAGCTGTGACCACATCCTTGCTTAGCTTTTCCATCAGTAAATCCTGTTTCCCTCTCCACTCCTCCATCTGAGAGAATTATCACAATAAACCATTTACTTAAGGGACTTCATTTTGGGTTCTGCTTCTAGGGAACTTAACATAATAATCCTAGCAAGAAGGCCCTAAGAGTGGCATTTGTGAGTTGGATCACTGTCTAGCCAGAGAGTAACAGGAAGAATATTGATAGTTTCTGTAATAGTGTCATTGACAAAATTTTATCTGTAAGAAACTGGATGATATAGAGGCAAAGAGGTATGCCAACTGATACAGTTCTATGACATTTATGATAATAACTATAAGAAGGACTTAAATGTAAGACGGGAAACCATAAAAATCCTATAAAACTCCATAGGCAGTGAAATAGCAGACATATGTTGTAGCAATATCTTTACAGACACAGCTCCTAGGGCAATGGAGACTAAGGAGAAAATAAACAAATGGGACTACATCAAAATAAAAAGCTTCTGCACAGCAAAAGAAACTATCAACAAAACTACAAGAAAGCCCACTGCATGGGAGAACATATTTGCTAAAGATATTTCAGATAAGGGTTTAATCTTCAAAATTTACAGAGAACTTATACAACTTAAGGAAGATAAATGATCCAATAAAAAAATGGGCAAAGGATCTAAATAGACACTTTTCAAAAGAGGACATACAGAAGGCCCAGAGACATATGAAAATATGCTCAAAGTCACTAATCATCCGAGAGATGCAAATCAAAACAACAATGAGATACCATCTCACACCTGTCAAAATGGCTATCATCAACAAATCAACAAACTATAAGTGCTTGCAAGGATGTGGAGAAAAAGGAACTCTCCTGCACTGCTGGTGGGAGTGCAGCCACTGTGGAAGACAGTATGGAGTTTCCTCAAAAAGTTAAAAATGGAACTCCCATTTGACCCAGTAATCCCACTTCTAGGACTATATCCCAAGAAACCAGAAACACCAATCAATAAGGATATATGTACCCCTCTGTTCATAGCAGCACAAATTACAATAGCTACGATTTGGAAACCGCCTAAGTGCCCATCAGCAGATGAATGGATTAAAAAACTGTGGTACATCTACACAATCGAATACTATACCGCTATAAAAAAGAAGGAACTTTTCCATTTACAACAGCATGGATGGAACTGGAGAGCATTATGCTAAGCGAAATAAGCCAGTTGGAGACAGATAAATATCACATGATCTCACTCATATGTGGGATATAATGATCAACATAATTTGATGAATAAGAATAGATCCAGAGACAAATGATAGGGGAGGGGGGCTAGACAGCAACCAAAGGACTTGTATGCATGCATATTAGCATAACCAATGAACACAGACACTGGGGTGATGGGGGTTTGCCCATGGTGGGAATGGCTGGGAGGGGATGGGGGCAGGGTCAATTGGGGAAAAAGGAGATATATGTAAAACTTTAGACAATAATAAAATAAAATAAAATAACTATAAGAAGAGTGTATTTTGTCTGGCCGGTGTGGCTCAGTGGTTGAGCATTAAACCATGAACCAGGAGGTCACAGTTTGATTACTGGTCAGGTACATGCCCAGGTTGCAGGCTGGATCCACAGTAGGGGGTGTGCAGGAGGAAGCCAATTGATGATTCTTTTTCATCATTGATGTTTCTACATCTCTATCTCCCTTTCCTTTCTTCTGAAATCAATAAAACATTAAAAAGAAAAGAACTGTGGATTTTGGTGCCTATTGCTAAGTGTGATGAATGTATTGAAAAGAGTACATGATAGACTTAAATCTATTAGTCACCACCTAAAACAAAGAGATCCTCATACATGCAGCTGGAAGGCAATAGTTCTAGGCCTGAAACAGGCCCTAATTTTAAGAATGACAGAACTTCAGAGAAGACTGAATTCTAAGCCCAGTTGGGCCTCTATTCCAGTCAGGGCCCTGATATAGGATTGAAACCCTGAAGCTCAGAATTGGGATTTCTAAGAAGTTGTACAAGAGAGCTCCGAACTCCAGGTACCTCTGAACCCACTCACATGCAAAAGAGTCCCCTGCCCTTTGTTGCAAGACAGACCCCCTACCCAGCCTCGCTTCTTGCTTGAATAGAGAATATGCAGAATCCTCACAGCATGACCCAATAGGCAAGTCCTGGGAGGGGCAGCTAGGTGAGGAGAGGGTTTCTATTCCTTTTTAAAAAATTAAATTTATTGGGATAACATTGGTCAACATGAACACATAGGTTTCAGGTGTGGATTTGTATGTTACAAAATCTTTATCTTGTACCATGTCTCCACCACCCAAAGTCAAATCTTCTGTTACCATATGTTAGGACCCCTTTCTCCTCCCACCCCCTTCCCTCTGGGCAACCACTACATTGCAGTTTGTGTTCATAAGTTTCAGTTTTATATCCCACATATGAGCGAAATTATATGGTTCTTAGCTTTTTCTGACTGACTTATTTCATTTAGCACAGCGGTTCTCAACCTGTCTCATACAACTCAACAACAACAAAACAAATAATCCAATTAAAAAATGGACAGAGGACCTGAATAGACACTTCTCACAAGAAGACCTACAAATGCCCAACAGGTATATGAAAGGATGCTCAACTTCACTAGTGATTAGGGAGATGCAAATCAAAACCACAATGAGATATCACCTCACACCTGTTAGAATAGCTATCATCAACAAGACAAGAAATAATAAGTATTAAAGAGGTTGTGGAGAAAAAGGAACCTTCATTCACTGCTGTTTGGAATGTAAATTGGTACAGCCACTATGGAAAATAGTGTGGAAGTTCCTCAAAAATTAAGAAAAGCCCTACTATATGACCCCAAATCTCTCTTTTGGGTAGCTACCCCCCAAATTTGAAAATACTTATAAAGATATGTATACCCCTATGTTCATTGAAGCATTCATAGTAGCTAATTATTGAAGTGTCTTCTGATACTTGATATAACTTCTCATTGTCTTCAGGATAAAGCCCCAAACGTCTGAGATGGCTCCAACTCCTGCTTGATTGAGCCCCTCCCTCCCTCACCAGCCTCCTCAGGCCCCTTTGCCCCTTTGTTCAATGACAGTCTTCTCCCCTAAGCCAGCAACATCCATGAGGGCAGCACGGGAATATCTTGCTCCCTGGGAATATCACCACCATTGACCTGATAACCTGCACAGAGCAGGTGCTCATTGTTTGCTAAGTCAGCAGTTCTCAACCTGTGGGTCGCGACCCCTTTGGCAGTCGAACGACCCTTTCACAGGGGTCGCCTAAGACCATCCTGCATATCAGATATTTACATTATGATTCATAACAGTAGCAACATTACAGTTATGAAGTAGCAACGAAAATAATTTTATGATTGGGTCACAACATGAGGAACTGTATTTAAAGGGCCAGAAGGTTGAGAACCACTGATAAGCATAATATTTTCAAGATCCATCCATGTTGTTGCAAATGGCACTACTTCATTCTTTCTTATGGCTGAGTAGTATTCCATTGCGTATGTGTACCACACCTTTATCCAGTCCTCTATCACAGGACACTTTGGTTGTTTCCATGTCTTGGCCATCGTGAATAATGTTGCAGTGAACACAGGGGTGCATATATCTTTGTGAATACAAGATTTTGAGGTTTTCAAGTAGATACCCAAGAAAGGGATTGCTGGATCGTATGGTAGCTCTATTTTTAATTTTTTGAGGAATCTCCAGTCTACATTCCCACCAGCAGTGAATGAGGGTTCCTTTTTTCCCATCATCTCTCCAACATTTATTTTGCTTGTCTTATTGATAATGGCCACTCTAACAGATGTGAGGAGGTATCTCATTGTAGTTTTGATTAATGTTTCCAAGTATTCTTTTAATTTCTTAAAGAACTTTATCAAAGTCCATCTCCTCAAAGAGAGCCTGGCTGCCCTGGCTGGCTCAAGGGCTAATATCATGATGAACAGTCCCTCCACTGGTGCACACCACAGGAAGAAGTCATCTGCTAAAAGAAAACTGGGTGCTGTTAGGGAAAGGGAGGAGGTTAGATGGCCAAGGAAAACATGCCTGATCGACGGAACCTATCTAGAGGACCCTCAGAGGTGGACCTAGAAGCCTAACAGGAAGGATGGGGCAGTCCCAGGCCAGTCAGAGGGACCACAGAGCCTGGGGATTCCTTAATAGAACTGTGGTCCT